GCAGGAATCAGTACACTGTAAATACCAACCGTAAACTTATTTTTTTCTTCCATCGCTCTGCTCCACTGAATATAACGGTATTCCCTGAAAAGATTCCAACTCCAAACCTATATATTTTCATTTGGATAAGCTATGACTGACCTCAATCAAAAATGTCGTATTAGTCAACAGGCTTGCTCAGCACTCTCTTTTTGTTCAACCTGTAGTGATCCAAGTTCACACCAGACAGAAATACGGTGTACCTCTGCTGAAATGAGAGCAGCAGGCACCTGCTTCTATCTATTTATTATCTAGAATAATCTTAGCAAAATCAGAAAAAGTCTGACAGAAAATGTCACCAAGATACTGCCATGTAAGAACTAAGCACTACTTGAAATTAAGAAACAGTATGTATTGGGTCTGGCTGAGATGGAGTTAATTTTCCCCATAGCAGCCCTCAGAGTGCTGTGTTTTGTATCAGTAGCTAGAAAGGTGTTGACAACACACGAGTGTTTTGCTCACTGCCGAGCAGTGCTCACACAGCATCAAGGCTGTCTCTCCATTTCCCACCCCCAGTAGGCTGGGAGTGGGGAAGGTCTTGGGAGGGGACACAGCCAGGACAGCTGACCCAAACTGACCAAAGGGATATTCCATACCATAAGACATGTGCTCAGAAATAAAAGCTACGGGAACAGAGGGGGAAGGGAGGGCATTTGTTATTTTATGTTTGTCCTCTGGGGTAAACGCAACGCGTACGAAGCCCGGCTTCCCGGGAAGTGGCCAAACATCACCTGCTGATGGGAAGTAGAGAATAAATATTTTGTTCTTTTGCATCTGCACATGCAGCTTTGCTTTGTTTCTATTAAACTGCTTTTTGTCTCAACCCACGAATTTGGGGGTTTTTTGTTCCATCTTATTTTCTTCCCTCCCCATCCTGCTGAGGAGGGGGGTGATAAAATGACTTGGTGGGCACCTGGCATTCAGGCAAGGTCAACCCACTACACAGTATTACCAGAATTATTAGAAGTCCTGAAAACTGAAATCAGCAACAGTTCCAATCAACTCTTTCTAGAGTTTATTTTAAGCTTAACTTTATTTTTTGTACTTCTTACTGTCTCCTGCTAATACATCAACTCTTAGTGCAAGAAGGCACTTAGGTGTTTTATTACCAAAAAGTACCATTCTTACACAACAGAGAACACAGACTTGCAAATTAAATGGCCTACATACCAAATAAACAGAAGTAATGGAAAACAAGTAATTTTCCTTTTTCCTACTCATGTCAAATAAATAGTACATTCAGTTCCATAATCTGGGTTGGGCTGCCTTCCCTCCTCCTCTCTTCATACAGGCTTAGGTGAAAAACACATTTCCCAAGTACATGAGTTGGAACTGATAAAATTAGAACAGGAAGCCATCTGTAATATTTCTTTAGGTATCCCATAAATTCCAACCTCAGCTGTAACTGACTTACCTTTTTGGCAATGTGAAAGTACTAGGCTTTTTAATGGAGAGGCAAGAAAATGAACAACTACTAAGGGACCTGAATTCGACACAGCCTCACAGAACCGCTATAAGACTATTTAATTTTTGTGTCTGGAAAGGTGGCATGTGACCCATGAAAGAGTGACACACATAAGGAAAAATGAAATTGCTGCAAAAAATAATGAAAAATGGAAACTGGCTAAAAGTTGCCCACAGTTTTGAAAAGAAAATAAAGACACTGGGAAAGATAAGAGAGATTGTTCAAAGTAATTCCCAAGAAAGAATGTGGAACAGACGCCTCGGGTTGAGAAGATCTAAATCAATATTCTGCTCCTCCACTACTCTTCCAAGACCTTCTGAGAAAAAGTATTTATTAACATGCTTGCCAGGTAACATAGACACAGAGTTAAAGTGGCTATGCTAAAAAAAACCCCAGCAAAACCACAAACACTTCCTCTTCCACAGCACAAAGAGAACAGTGATGATGGTACAGTGCTATTCCAGACACAAGAGTTTAATTCCTTCCCACACACTGTCTTTTGAAAGTGGACATAAATTTGAAAGGATATGACATTTCATCTTATAATTTTTTTCATCTATTCACAAACTATAGGTATTTTTGATTTGAAGAGAACAGAACATTGGAATGTAAATAACACATCCATTTTACTCCAGCAATACAAGACACAGATTGGGACAAATCTCAAACTTTACAAAGAACAGTAACATTTAATACTTTATAAACTGTACGTCTATTTCTATTCACTAACTTTGAACCAAGTCCATAATAATCTTTTTCTAAACTTTACAGAAGAACTGTGAGCTAAAATTAAAAATTCTTAGAACAATAACTTTTGCCCAGAGTTTTTTCCCTCTTTTTAAGCCGATATGGACATGTTCTTTCACTTGTTCTGAACAAACTGGGAAACAGAAGGAGCTCACTAGCTCATTTTTTAAATTAAAAAAAAAAATAAAAAAAAAATTCTGACAGGTCTCGAAGAACTGCAGGAACTTCCTTTGACAAGAGGAGAGAGGATGTCAATACTAGCAGAAAATCCCATTAAATTATCTGTACCAAGGGGACATTAAAGAAGAGATTAATTGAAAGAAGAAGGGAAAGAAGAGAAGACAATGAAAGAAATCAATAATAAATTTGCTATATAATTATCAATGAGAAACCTGTATTATTGGAAGTATTTGGAATTGACTTCACTGACTGTAGATATTTTCTCAATTTTTTTCTACTTACCTAGACCTTTTTGTCCAGGGTTTTTAGCAAAGTTAAAAGTAAACTGATAAAAATCTTTGAATTTTGTTGGATCCTTTAGCTCTTGTTCCAGTCTTGGCAATAGAGCTTTTAGTTTTTCTGTGGTGTCACACCTGTTCAAAAGAGGTTACATTATTTATCAATATTAAGATTCCTCTCTTCTTTTTTTATTATTCTCTTTTTTAATTTTTAAGGTTTAGTTTCAGAGCAAAATAAAACAATAGTTAAGATAAAAACAGAGTATCTTTCTGAATGGCATTCTTAAAAATATAAACACTTATGTGTCTTTACTGAATGAGTTAAAATGGAACATTATATATAGGCACCCATTAAGTACACAACAGGATTCAGCGGTTTAACTTCTTTTCTCAGTCTCTTCATGAGTTTATGAACTCCAACAAAAGTTGTTACTCTCTTCCTAAAGAACACATAAACCTTGTTGAAATCTGCTATCCTTTCCCTTTTTATAGCTGTTGTAAGATAAGGGTTTGTGTTTTTGCTTTAATCTAGACATTACTTATTCCCTGCTCTACCTAAATGAAGAGCTGCACACTATATTTACAGTTAACCTAAACATCAGAGGACTTCCCAACAAAATGAACTATTATTTGCAGTCATCCTCTCCCAACCACAGAACACTTGTGGATAAAACCTAGGGAAAAAAAATGAGCCTTTCACAATAGCTTGAAGACTGACAAAACATTTAACAGCCTAGCACATGTAAGCCACAACAGAATTGAGTTACTGAGATGCTAACAGACATACATCCCTTAATAACACAAGACTGGAGCATTTTCAGTGAAAACCCTTGAGCTGACAAGATACAGTCTTAAAAGAAAAAGGGTTTCCCTCATGCCAAGGAATCAAACGAATATCCAAAGTTTATAGGATATTACCAATATTTTGAATTGTACCTAGAAACTCAAAGCAAAGGAAAAAGGTGTCAAACCAGTAGCTATCATAACTAACATCTTGCATTTGAAAGTTCTCAGTAGCTAAATGTTTGTGTTTGTTCTAAAGATTCAAGAATAATTTTCTTAAAGGATGGAAAACTATAGCAAAATCCATAAAATGCAGATGCAGTTTTAACTGTTTTTCACAGTACAGATAAAACAAGTACCTTTCTGGCCTCCAGCAGTATCTAGTACAGAAAAGATAAAGAATTCTGCCAACAGTCTTCAACTGAGAACTTCAGTTTCATGGAGGCTTGATCTAGTTAACAACAGCGACAAATATCATACCTTCCCATATGTATCCTAAAGGTGCTATAGGAACTAAGCCTCAGGGAGATTATTTTCATTCAAGTCTTTGCCTACATTCAATGCTAAAAACCACAGACACTACACCTCCAGTAGGCAACAAAATCATTCCAATTTCTCAATAAGCACTATACCAGTGGCAAGCAAGTATGACCAGGTTATGCTCCCAAGAACGCGATAATGTGTGCTGAGCAGAAACAGGTAACAATCACAGACCTCTGTGGAACTGTAAAGACAGTCATGAGGACATAGAAGCCATGTGACAACAAACTTAGAAAACAAAATCCAAGCCAGAAGCCACAGGTGGTTTAGGAAAATCTTTTTAATCAGCTATCTCAAATAACACTGGCAGCCTTAAATACAACAGCATGAACACCTGATTGCTGTCCACAGCTAGAAAATCGTGGATTTTATTGGATCATAATTAGTGGATTGTGAACTGGTTGAAAGGAAGAAGTCAGAGAGTTGTGGTCAATGGGGCAGAGTCTAGTTGGAGGCCTGTGTCTAGTGGAGTGCCTCAGGGGTCAGTACTGGGACCAGTACTATTCAGTATGTTCATCAATGACCCGGATGAGGGAACAGAGTGCACTGTCAGCAAGTTTGCTGATGATACAAAGCTGGGAGGAGTGGCTGACAAGCCAGAAGGCTGTGCTGCCATCCAGCCAGACCTGGACAGGCTGGAGAGTTGGGCAGGGAAAAACTTAATGAAATACAACAAGGGCAAGTGTGTAGAGTCTTGCATCTGGGAAAGAACAATCCCATGTACCAGTATAGGCTAGAGACATACCTGTTGGGATCATGCAGTTGGACTAGAAAATCATTGTAGGTCCCTTCCAAATGAAAATATTCTATTCTGTTCTTCGTAACTCCTCCTTTACATAGCAGTACATGCTGAGGAAGGGTGGTGACATTTCTTCCAAGCCTTGCACTAGCAGAAGGGAGTGAATGGGTGACCATATCCCAGCCTAGGCATTGGCTCTGTCACTTTGTGGGAAGGAGGCATGTACCTTGTTATGGGAGTGAGAGATGT